TTTAATTAGTCCGTCAGTTAGATAATGAAAAAATATTAGACACGTATTTTTTTTATTTTCTCGTATAACTTTACAATTCTTGGATAAAATGGCGCTAAGTTTAGGAGGTTTCACGATATTTCAAATCAATATATCGTCGAAAGCATTTAATTATGTGAGAATAGAAAAAATACGTGTCTAAAGTTTTAAATTAATCTACCAGACGGACATTAATATAAAATTTAGGATACTGCCCTATTGTTTCAAAAGATGTTAAGTTTTTTTTTAGCGCAGGCGACAAAATGCTCATGGCACGCGCTTCTAGGATTAACTTATTATGACGCGAATTAAGAATTTTCGAAATAATAATAATTTAATCCATTATTTTTCCGAACTTCCTTAATTTGTAACATTAATTCATTTATATTTTGACTATATATATGTCGAAGCGTCAACGCATATCAATTAATTTAGATGTGGCAACTATTGTTTGAGAACGTCAAGTAATTACTTGAGGATGGTTAGCGCGGAGTAATGGCAACACCGATGGAAAGTTAAATCAGACTTTGACATTTGACAGCAACTGACGTTGACAGACGTCACTGAGCGCGGGAAAGACTTTTGGAAAGGATCGCGGTGGTAGCGGCAGCTAGAAGGGTTACTCCCCGCTAAACTTCCTGCGTTCTTACTAAATTATCAATAATTTGGTGTGATTCGACAATGTCGCGACTCACCGGTAGCGTATCTCCGACATATATATATATATAATGAATTATTACACATTTATTTATGTATATATATATATATTTTTTCTACATTTGTGCATTATTTTATTACAATAACATTTTTTTAATTATTTAATAGGTACTAACAATTTTAGGTACGGTAGCCATCAAACAACCTATCTTTTTCTGTCAAACTTCTCGATTTGCACCTTCAACTTTATTGTATTGACATTAAGGCGAAAATCCAATGAAGAAGTTTGACAGATCGAAGTAGGTTTAGTTGTTGGCGGTCGTATATATACAATACAATTCATATAAATTATAATATACATTCGTTTTATATGAAGACATAACATAGCATCACGTCTTTTTACCCCCGAAGGGATAGGCAGAGGTGCACATTTCGGCACTTAATGCCACTGTAATTGTAGGTACATTGGTAACACCCACTTTTCACTATTTATGTTACGAGTCCCATGTAATAGGAGGTGAGTCTATTGCCATATACCGGGCACAATTCCAGGCTCCGTGCTACTACTGAGAATGTTTAAAAACCCAGTAGTACTTTGCCTGACCCGGGAATCGAACCCGAGGCCCATTGTCCGGTAGTCGTACTTGCGACCACGCGGTCCACGAGACAGTCTTTTATATACAATTTTTTGTAAACATAAAGTAATATAATATAACATAACGCCATTTTTATTTATATATAAGCCTTTGGTGTGTATAAAATATCAATTGAGGTTCATATATACAATGTAACCACCACTTGACCCACTTTGAGGTCTTCCATAAATTACGTCACACAAATTTCACGATTTTTTGCCCCTCCCCCCCGTCCTTGTCACAGCTAGTCACATTTGTGAGACGCCCCCCCCCCCAGTGTGACGTCACAATTTACAGTCGTTCGTATGTATAAATTTATTGAATAGAAACAGCGGTTCCGAAATCAGTTTTATTTCAATTTAAATTACTTTAAAAAAATATTAATACCAAAATACTAATATAATAATATTTCGTGTTTTATAATAGTTTTTGAAATCTGACATCACAAAGTTTAGGATCCCTCCCTCCCCCTTGTCACACTTCGTCTACCCCCTCCCTACCCCTTAACGTGTTGTCGCGGAGAACCTAACGGGTTACCGAGGCTCCGGCTCGAAGTGCAGGAGTAGAAACGGGGTGGTTTTTAGTCAGTAAGAGTCTGACACTCCCTCCCGCCTCACCCAAGGGGGAGAAGTCATTCGATGATTTTCCCCCCTTAAAAAACCCCTTAACGTGTGACGTAATTTATGGACGGCCCCTTTTCACAATTTATGTTATGAGTCCCATGTAATAGGGGGTGAGTCTATTGCCATGGACACAACCCCAGACTACATGCTATATATAATATCATTAAGAAATTTCAAAACAACAAAATATGTAGTGGCACTGCAACCAACACCATTGCGTCAAATTCTGTCATAAAATTTCCGACTTTATATTTAAACGATAAAGTTAAAAATCGAATAAAGAAAGGATGACGGGCTGAAGGTAGATACCGACCAATAACGACCAGGCGTATGTCGGTAGAAAGCAGACTCCAGACTCCACCCACATAGTTTTTTGTTAAATTTCCGTGGTGCTTGGCGACTGGGTTTCATCCAGTTGTTCAGTCTCTTCTTAGTGCCTTCAGGCTTAATTCATTCTGTCTCCTGCAGTAATTCACCGAGGGAAGTGGAAACTATCGATTTTTTTCTCCTTCTCTTATAATATCATATGATTCACTTCGTTGCGGGAACCAAGACAGTTATTCATGTCCTTAAGACGCGCGCGACTTCAGTGTTCCGGTGTTTTCGTGGTTCTATCTACTGTAGATCCTGGTCCACAGGAGTTGGGGTTTGGGAGGTTGTAGCGGACCTTTGAAAAAAAGACTCCAGACTCTACACATTTGATTCGCATTATCCTTTTAATAAATCATTTAAGTAACTTTAACATTTTCCCCACAACGAATTGAGACTAGCCCTCATAATAACAAATAATAGTCATGAAAAGACCTTTCTAAGCGCGGGCCTGCGGACGACTAGAACCAGACCCGAGCGTACGGCGCCGAGCGTTCCGCGCGACACTAAGAGTCATTAGACCACCACGGATGGGGCCCAACAGGACTGATGCCGATCCGGAGTCGCGGAGAACCTAACGGGTTACCGGGGCTCCGGCTCGAAGCGCAGGAGAAGGAACGGGTGGTTTTTAGTCAGTAAGAGTCTGACACTCCTTCCCGCCTCACCCAGGCGGGAACAACCATTTGATGATTTTCCCCCCTTAAAAAAACCGGCATACATCTGGTCGTTAGTGGTCGGTGGGTACATCACCCGTACATTTGGCCGTCATCCTTTGGTATCCATAGGTTGCCCTGTTGCCTACTATATTTTACCAAAACGAGTATCACATATATTTATATACATTTTCATTTTGCTGAAATTTTAAATTGACTGCACGGTCGGTGCGGTAACTGGGCAGCCGGCTGCCGCGCAACGTGTAGCAATTTCGATTCCTGCACGGAACAGCTAGGTTATTCTGCAACCATTCGAATAGATCGAAGTGAACTCGATTACGGTCCGCCTTGTCATTGGTGATTGGTGAGAATAATCGCGACCAATGACGGGCTAGAATGCTACCGAGCTCACTTGAAACAATCGAATTGACAGTTACAAAATAGCCTAGTTACTCTTTATGATCCACAAATTGTTGTTCCAGGTCTGTGTGTCATGTGTATGTGAACTTGTATGTTTGTAAACGCACCCACGATACAGGAGACAATCCTAGTGTGGGGTAACGTTTTAATTATATAAAAAAAATATATAATAATATGAAACAAATAACTATAAACATTATGTACGTATAACAATGAATTTCGACAGAAATATTTGATTTGATACAGCAGACATTCGCTCTCTGATAAACCTGAACCTTTTATACTCCAACCCGCTTGCCTGCGGAGATTATGACAAACCCTCTTATGTAGAGGAGGCACAGAGTCCAGCAATGGACTTCCATTGGTTTTTTTACTTATTAATTTATATGAAATTGTGATTTTTTTTATTTTCTAAAGCGGTAATGAAGATTCTTTATTAATACTGATTCATTTCAATCACTCAAATACATAACATAACATCACGCCTTTTATGCCCGAAGGGGTAGGCAGAGGTGAACATTACTGCACTTAATGCCACTGTACAATGTAACACACACTTTTCACTATCTACGTTATGAGTCCCATGTAATAGGGGGTGAGCGTATTGCCATGTATCGGGCACAATTTCAGACTCCGTTCTACCACTGAGAATTTTTTTTAAAACGCAGTAGTACTTTGCCCGACCCGGGAATCGCCCACAGTCGCAGTCGCAGTCCCACTCGGCTAATTCAAATATATAAATATCACATAATACTTTTTAACTTAAAAAAATATTCGCAGTTTCGTGTATGAGTATAATAATAGTACTTACAATAGCATAGTTGTGATAGATTCCCTAAAAACACGATTTATATCAATATTTCTGTCAAAAATTTAAAAACGAAACAAAACTACTAAATAAATATTCAATATTTAGGGATAGCAACACCAATAATCAGCTTAAAACCATAAAACTACAATTAAAGCATCACTTTTTAACTTTTATATATTATTATTATATGTATGTATACGACTGTAAATTGATGTTACTATCCGTTTATACAAACAAAATTTTGATCAATAACTAAAATTATGTACATTTAAAATAATAAGTACAATTCTTAATACGTCAAGTTGCTTACATTGAAAAAAAAAACTACCAATTTAGTAGCTTTTCTTGGTTAAGTGGCAACATTATATAGATTTGGTTCTAAAAACTACCATTCGAGGTTAATCACAAAATAAAATTATAATAAAATTGCATTTAATTTTAAATATGGTCATTCTATGGCCTGTTATTTCTTCTTTCACAGTTTACACAACGCATTTTGATCTTTATTTCGTAGATATAAGAATAGCTTTGTGAGTAAAGGCTCGAATTTATGACGCCAATAATTCTTTGCAGCTCATGTGAGTCTTATGACCAAATCCATAAAGTCGAAAATGTACTAGTAAAACCACAAATAGGATTTATTAAATACATTATTAAATTGTAACTTTTGCTAGAGGTTTCGGCCCGATAAATATGAAAAAAAGAAATAATATCAAGTAATAAAAATAGAGTATTAGTTATATTATAAGTTTCATGAAACATACTAAATTAATTATTGTTTTTCGTCTTACTCACGTAATTATTAGACGAGGAACTCGACTAGTTTCAATCAATGCTAGAGGCTCATATTCGTGAACAGCATTTAGCTACAGTCGTTCCTTGACAAATTATTACGTGGGTGAGCCGACAAACATAATAATTAATAGAGCATTCGTTTTAAATTATAACTAGCGTATAAAAATAGTGAGATAAAATATAATTTAGAGTATTCAGTATTTAAGACTAGTCTACATCTATACCAATTCAGATCTGTTCAAAATTCTTCACAATTGTAATATATAATAGATCATATACCGCTGATAATAAGACTTATATTAGCTGCAGAGAATGACTGGTTTCCACAGCCACTAAAATCAATTTTGAATCTACGACATAAAGTTTAAAATCGTGCGCATTTTACTTGTATGTACAGTATGTGGAATGTACTATGTGTATACAGGGTGATTTCAAACCGATTCACCTTTACACAGGGTGTAAGTATACTTGTTATACTTAAAATTTACGCGTAAAATATCATGTGCCTGTGCTGCCTACCCACTTTTGTCATATTAGTGCACAGTTCTTGATCTCTGTAAAAGAAAAAAAAAATCATTGATATAAAGTTTATTCATAAGATAACGAGAGCTGAGACAGTTTAAAATATTCGGATCAGGGTTTGAACCTAGAACCACATCGAAGAGGAGCAGAAGGAACAGGGTAGTATTTAGTCAGTAAGAGTCTGACACTCCCTCTCACCTCACCCGGGCGGGAAAAGCCATTAGATGATACCCCCCCTTAAGAAAACCCCTTGAATAAGGGAAATATTAGAATAGAGGATTGTTGGGGATTCAAAAATTGGGGAGAGTGGGGAAGGGGGGTGGGGGTAATTAGGCTTTCGGTAACTTTAAGTGTGGGAGAGCCATGCTTCGGCACGAATGGGCCGGGTCGACCGGAGTGATAGCACGGCCTCACGGAAAACCGACGTGAAGCAACGCTTGCGTTGTGTTTCGTCGTATGAGTGAGGTTACCGGAGGCCCAATTACCCTCCCCTTCTCTAATCTCCCCAATTCCTAAATCCCCAACGATCCTCAAACTCCTAATCCTCAAAAGGCCGGTAACGCACTTGTAACGTCTCTGGTGTTCATGGGCGATGCCGATTGCTTACCATCAGGTGATTCATATGCTCCTTTACCGACTTATGCCATAAAAAAAAACCTGACTCACACGACGAAACATAACACAAGCGTTGTTTCGAATCGGTTTTCTGCTCGGCCGTGGTATCACTCCGGTCAAGCCGGCCCATTCGTGCCGGACCATGGCTCTCCAATACTTAAACATCAAAACCTGTAAACGCAAGTCAACTTACCTAATATCACCCCAGCCGCCATTTCCCTTCACTAGTTTCTTATTATGTTTAGCACCGCCCGCCGTCACCTGCGCACTCACTCGCGTCGGGTAAAGGTAAGGTTTTGCATTCTGTAGTAATTTCTGTACTTTACTGATAACTGTTGAGGCGTTACAGTTTGATTTCTTATGGTGAATACCGCTGAAAATAACGAAATATTTAATTATTGTATAAGTATAGTATTCGTACTAATATTATAAATCGGAAAGTGAGTTTGTTTGTTTGTTCCGCTTTCAAGCCGTAACTACTAAACCGATTGCTTTGAATTTTTGCAGACGTAAAGTTAGAAGTCTGGATTAAATAATAGGGTACGTTTAATCCCGGAAATATTTGATGGAGATAGAAACAAAGAAAAAAACCTTTAATAAGTCATTGTATTTGTAGGTACTGATGGAGACATGTTCATGTCCCAAGTCTGCCGTGAAATGGGACCAGTTCAGCATGTGCAAGACACTAGACAGGGCCTTGCGCTGGTACTCTATTGGCCCTTTAAGTGACTCGCGGACGAACAAGCCTCCAATTAGACATTAACAGTTTCGATGAAATAAATTAACGCATTGGCTGCCGCGTCGGACAATGTTGTCCGACGGTAGCGGAGGATTAGCCTTTAACAGTTTTTGTCGGCAGTTAAAGGCTTAATTAAACAAACATAATAATCTTACAAAATAAATGAATGAATGAATGTTTTTATGTAAGTATTGTTAGACATTTCTATAATTTTCATCAGAAAATCGACTAAATGAACGTCACTAGTTTAATCTATGTTACAGGCAGCACTAGTTGTCAAATTCACACTGTCACCTGTCAATTGTGATAGATTAGTAAAGATTCCCGCGCAAAGAGTTGTAACTGGCCTTCGGGTTGGAAGTTTGACGAGATTTTTTTATTTTATTTATAAAACGTTGTTACGCTGTTATCTTATAAGAATCAGTTTTATAATAATAATAATGTGTAAGTATTGGTATGTGTTCAATGAAAATTGCTAGGTATATGTTTATTGTTGTCTGATTGGTGACTTGTTCGTCCGCGAGTCACTTAAGGGGCCAGTAGAATACCAGCGCGAGGCCTTGTCTTGTACATGCTGAACGAATCCCATTTCACCGCAGACTTGGGACATTAGTAGCTATTTATTAACTTAAGTGGAAATTCTGTATGTGTCACCTGTTTTAGCGTGTAAAGTTTTTCTTTCTTTTCATCCTTTCTATTGAAATTTATTTAAAAGTATGTAGATTTTTTTTAATGTTGCCCCACACTAGGATTTTCTCCTGTATCGTGGGTGCGTTTACAAACATACAAGTTCACATACACATAACACCCAGACCCGAAACAACAATCTGCGGATCACACAAACAGTTGTTCCGTGCGGGAATTGAACCCGCGACACGTTGCGCGGCAGCCAGTTGCCCAACAACTGCACACTATACAATAGTATATAGTACATACATACATTATAGAGGTACTATAGTATAATGCCATAGGTTTTAATACTCGACAGGCATGAAAGGACCACATATACACTCTGCGCAGTTATGTTATCCCAAGTAATAGGAGAAGAGATAAGGATAAGCCTCTCTGTCTCTTCTCCGTCTAACTAACGTTAGTCGTACTAACGACTGTTTGAAGTAAATATAATTTCGATTTGATATTTTTGTAATACCATTATGTATACATGCCTATGTTATACAAATAAATATTCTGATTCTTATTCTGATCCTGATTCTGATAAATATTCGTGTTTCTAAGAGTCGATTTTTCCAACGCCAGATATATTTTTACCTGAGGAATAACTTTGAAAGATTTGACAATAGGGATGATGACAAGGCATGACAATTAAAAATCTAATTAGTCCGTCAGTTAGGTAATGAACAAATATTAGACACGTATTTTTTTTATTTTGTCGTATTATAGAACAATGCTTAGATAAAACGAATCAATTTGAGGAGTGGGTGCTAAAACGTCATTTCTACGTATGAAATGTAGAAGTGACATCACGCGATATTTCAAATCAATATATCGTCGAAAGTATCCGTTTCTGCAAGAAAATAAAAAATACGTGTATAATGATTTAAAATAATCTACCAGACGAACATTAAAATAAAAATTGGGCATCTACTCTATTCTTCCATACTAAAAACTGTCAAATGTCAATATTATTCCTCAATTAAAAATTAAGTGATCATTTAAAATCGGACCTAAGTGTACTTAATACTTTAACTGCCAAATTTAAAATGGTGAAAGTCAAACGTTCGCTGGCGTCAGGCACCGGAGACCGAATAACACAATTTTTACACAAGCCCAATAGCAATTAATAAAAAAAAAATATAACAATACTCACCATTCCCCAATGTGAAATACTCGTGGCCCTTTACACACTATAACTTTGAATTTCTCCCTCCCTGGCATATTTTGTGATAAATGTAATAAAGAATAATCCCAATTATAATCGTCGTAGGCACAAAACTGACTCTGTTGCTTCATTATATGATTCCAAACTGTCCTATTGAATGCAAACCCCATATTATGCATACTCGAATGCCATGGTGTTATTTCTACCTAAAAACAAAAAAAAAAATAAACATGAAAAAAAATTGGTAGAATTTTACAGACATTAATTGGCAACATTATGCACAGAACTGTCAAATTTTGGCGGGAATTTTTGACAGTTGTTCGCAAATGTTTATTTTTTATTTACATATTTACATTTCATCTTTATAGTGTATAATTACATAATATTATTAAATATAATACAAAATAATATCGAGGGGTAACGGGCTATTTGGTTTAAGCGACATTTTTGCAACTTTACAGGAGAGCCTTTTAAAGTTTGAAATTTCGAAAAAAAATTCATAACAAAAACGCTTCTGCAGATATTTGAACGGGGTAAATTGCATTGAAAGGAGAACGGCAGATTTCGTACCGCTTTGCTAAAAAAAGATTTGTCATTGTTTTGCCTTGGGCAATTGGGTAGCTATAGAATCCTCTAAATACGTTATGTTAGCATATTTAATAGATTTTTAGAACTTGGGAAGCCCTAGAAAATCTCATATTCAATAATGATAAGAAGCAATCAACAAAACGGCTACATATTAAATAAAAACAAACCGCGATTGACGTTTATAAAGTTGCCATGCATAAACATGAAATCAGAGTATATTGAATGTCGCTATTTCATAAACTCATTTATTTTAATATCAATGGAATATTTTCCTTTCCATTTCAAACATTTTTTATAAGTAAATATCATTATTTTAATTTCATTTTGTGAGGTCTACATGGATTATTAACGATAATTAACATTTTCACAAACTTGAATATGGCAATGTTGAACTGGTATTTGACATTTGTTGTTGAAGACGATTTGTCAATGTCAAGTGCGCCTTGCTGTTGGTTTCGAATGCGGTGTTATGATGTGTTTGTACAAATTGGAAGTCATTTTATTCATCTGGTGATACTTTGAGTTGGGCAGCCGTTCCTCCGTAGCCGAAATTGCGAAAATACACTTATTTTCATTTGTGCATAGTGTGTTGTATTTTGTCGCGATGACGAATTTACAGTGCATTAATTACAACCAGAGTTTGTCGCATGAGACGGCATGCTCTAGGAAATGAGAGTGAAGACTAGACGTGGTCAACAATATCCCATTGTGGACTTATCCTAGAGATGTAAGTAGGTACTTACCTATAATTACACATGACGTATCGAAAGTCACCTTGTTGCCTAAATAAAGGGGGCATAGTGTTATCTACCTATAATGTATCATTTTATTCTAGATCTCTCCTACCGACCATATTTGCCATGCTTGCTGGCAATTAGCAATGTATTGGGATGTTCCTGAAAGTATGTCCAGCAAACAAACTGATCATTGACATGTCTGTGTCGTATGTGGGCATTCCATTGCAAGGATAAGGTGACGCAGGGGTTTAATTGAAGGCGCCAACGAACAGGAGCAAAGACTAGCTCATATAGTATCTGATTGGATTCAGCCACGAAAGGTAATAATTTATTGTATTAACCATATACTATTATCATATAATTTAAAGTCAATATGACATTCTAATAATATTACTTTTTTTAGCTTACTTCCAATGATGAAGATCGTGTTCCATGCTGGCTGAGAGCCTTAACAAGAGTCGGATCTATAAGACCACAACCTGACATACCACCTCATAGTGTTCACTATCAGGATGTAATGTGTTATGTAAACATT